TGTAGCAGATGGAGTTTTAAGAAGTTCAGAGATTTGGAGCAGCTATCCGTTTTTGGACAAATGGAGCAGGACCTGAGTTTTGAGAGATTTCTCAGGAGGCTTTGTTTGCTGAGTTCAGAGACACTTTGAAAAATGTCCAGCAGACAAAGTCAGAAGTATCTGTGGTCCCTCGCTCTTTGCTGCCTCTTGGAATAATCCCTCTTTGCTTAGTGAAGATGAGGTTTAGCAGAGAGTGGGAGGGTCTGCACTGGGACAGAAGCTCACTGGATCTCATGCCAGGTGCCGGAAGATGGGGAGATGAGGGTATGGATTAAATGTACCTCTTAGTCTAAGAGAGGAAATATCTGCTTGGTTCCCAAGCTTGGTTTCAGAACCTCAGTTTCTAGAAAGCAAGCTGGCCGCTCAGCCGTTTTCTGTCTTAAGGGCCACTTTTGGAATTAAAATGCAAGTACCCAGGGAAAAGTAAATTTGTCAAAACATGCTGCTTACTTTATGGCGAGCAGGTTGTACTCACTAGAATGCTGTCCTCACAATAGAGTCAGAGGTTTGTAAAAATGTTAAGTGGCTCCAGGGAGAAATGTGAATTTCTCCATAGAGAACCAGGGGCTTAAAATATTTGGAAAAGATAATGTCCACATGCCTAACACCGGACTCTCATGCTTGCCTTCCACGGCGAAGGTGTTGAGAAGATTCAGGTCAGGTATCACGTGTCTCCAGACATAGCAAAAGATGCTGGGTGGGGGGCACAAAGTAAAGACCTCAGAAAGTCCCAGGTTTATACTCAGGTCTACCACTGAGTACCAGATGGGCTCAGACTTGTCCCCTGAATATTGTGCACCCATTACCTCATGCTGAAAGGCAAGAAGGAATGCCAGACTCCACCATCTTTCATTTCCCTTCTAGCATTAAAGTCTGGGATAGGAGTTTCCTTCCTTTGGAAAACCACAGAGGGTTTACTCTTCTTAAAAATAAAAAAATAAATAAAAAAAAAAAAAGAAAAGAAAACCTCTAGAGAAAATGTGGAGTTTAAAGGAGTTACGATCTTGTTTACTGAAGACATCAAGAGCCCAAGATATATCAAAGAGCCACGGCTTTGCGTTTGTCTAGAGGTTCAGGGTGTTTCTGAGGTCTGTTTAAACACTAA